TACAGTCTAGAAAAAAGAATGCAGTCAGAAATAGAAATTGAGAGCTGAACACGTGTGAAGATAGTTTATTAACCACACCCGTATGTCAGAGGTTTTGTGCCCCACAGGTGAACTAAAGGAGAAGGTGACCCACTCTATCTAACCAGGTGACTGGTGAGCATCCAGTCCCTAAAGAAGAAAAACTGGAAGCAGGCCTGTTGGGAAGGGCCCTATCAGGTTATATTGGTCACTACCTTTGCCATTAGAATAGCAGAAAGAGCAACCTGGGTCCACGTTACCCACTGCAAAAAGGTAAGAACACATGCAAGCACCACGGAACACATGCAGAGTTAGAGAGAAGAACTGAACCAATAGGGTCTGGGGATCACCTCTGTTAACGAAGATCTCCTACCCCGACCTATCATCACTGTAGTGTGTTCTCAGGGTGTGAGTATCGGGTAGTACCAAGCAGAAAGACTGAGGACAGGAGAGGGTTGGCGGTTTTTGGGAATATGGATAACTTGAGTTGCATCATAGTCTCGGTAATGGTCTTGATATGTCAAGATCCACCACCAATTGTGCTATGCCCTTACCACTGTTAAGAAGTAAAATAGAAGAGAAGCGACCCGACATACTGACCGTCAAGGACGAGTGGCCTACAAAATGGGAGTCAGAGAAGGGCAGACTGTCAGATTCAAAATAAGGGTTAGGGACGTAGCCAACGGGTGGGGTACATGTCAATAAGCAAATTGGGATTATAAAATCCTATTATATTCGTGTTCGGCCCCCACGGCGGATTGTTCCTAGACTCAAGTGTTTAAATACACTTGGGGATGGGGATATGAGACCGAGGGGGACTGAACACATCCAGATGGGGGGTAAAAAGAAACAAAGACATCACCAATTATCAATTGGAGATAGTAGTAATGTGACGGACTTAAGTTCGGAAGCACAGGAGAGAATTTTGAACCTTACAGCCCCTGTAACCGATGTGTGGTGGGCGTGTGCCAGTAAAGGCAGTATAAGGCAGATAATTCCAAAAGGGTGGCTAGATACGTGCGCCCTGGTTCTACTGGTTCAACTAGTTAGAATTAGTCACCAGGAACCAAGGATTAAACAGATGTAGGAGGAGTTTTAACAAGAAGGAGAATAGCCCTATTTAGATGGATGCGATTGGGATACCAAGGGGGGTATCGGATGGATACCGAGCTATGAAACAATTAGGGGAAGGGTTTACTACCACGTTCTTTTGGTGGGTGACAATAAACAAAATTGTGGATTGGATTATTTATATCTATTACGACCAACAACGATTTATTGGCTGGACTAGGGGTGCAACAAAAGGGATCTTTGATCAATTATCCGCCATCTCACTCTTATGACTTAGTAAAAAGAGGTTGGCTCTAGATCAGGCAGAAAGGGGTGGTGTCTATAGAATGGTAAGCCATTGTTGTACGTTTATCCCTAATAATACCAGTCCTGACGGGGGTATCTTTAAAGCCCTAGTTGGATAGATAAACTATCAGCTGAAATGAAGAGCATGGCTGGAATGGAGGGAACGGACTGTTCTCCTGGTTGGGGGAGTGGTTTGGTAAGTTTGCATCATTGGTGGTTACTGGATTTCTGACCCTAGTAGTTGTGTTTCTAATATTAATGTCAAATCAAATCAAATCAAATTGTATTGGTCACATGCGCCGAATACAACAGGTGCAGACATTACAGTGAAATGCTTACTTACAGCCCTTAACCAACAGTGCATTTATTTTTAACAAAAAAAGTACAAATAAAACAACAACAAAAAAAGTGTTGAGAAAAAAAAGAGCAGAAGTAAAATAAAAGAACAGTAGGGAGGCTATATATACAGGGGGTTACCGGTGCAGAGTCAATGTGCGGGGGCACCGGCTAGTTGAGGTAGTTGAAGTAATATGTACATGTGGGTAGAGTTAAAGTGACTATGCATAAATAATTAACAGAGTAGCAGCAGCGTAAAAGGATGGGGTGGGGGGGCAGTGCAAATAGTCCGGGTAGCCATGATTAGCTGTTCAGGAGTCTTATGGCTTGGGGGTAGAAGCTGTTGAGAAGTCTTTTGGACCTAGACTTGGCACTCCGGTACCGCTTGCCGTGCGGTAGCAGAGAGAACAGTCTATGACTAGGTTGGCTGGAGTCTTTTACAATTTTGAGGGCCTTCCTCTGACACCGCCTGGTATAGAGGTCCTGGATGGCAGGAAGCTTTGCCCCAGTGATGTACTGGGCCGTACGCACTACCCTCTGTAGTGCCTTGCGGTCGGAGGCCAAGCAGTTGCCATACCAGGCGGTGATGCAACCAGTCAGGATGCCAGTAATGTGCTGTGCTGCCTGTGTAATTCCTTGTTTGAGAAAGTCTGTTACAGATGTCGTGCATACGGCTGGTATGATGCCCCTCCTAGGGGCTCAAGAAGGGGTTGCAGACACTGAGTCTAGCTTTCGGAAGAAACTGGGGTTGACAAAGGATGACCCTTGGTTTGCTATTGGTGAGGTGGTGGAGTGACACCCTAGTGGGTGTCTAAAGGGGGAATCAAAATTCCCTGTTTGTGTTTTTATGTTTTATAAATCAATTTTAACTATTGTGAATGTTTGTCTTTCCTTATGTGAAGGTTTGAAGTTCCTGGGTGGCTGGTAGCCAACCTAGTACAAGTTAGGTGTAGATGGAAGGACTGAAGGCCTTTTTATTATCATTATTGCCTATTAATAAAAGTGTGATTATTTTTGTTTGTATTGTATTTTAATGAGTGACACCCTAGTGGGTGTCAAAAGGGGGAATCCTAAATTTCCCTGAAATTTCTTATTTTGGGTTCACACCCAGCGGGTGTGAAAAGGGGGATTGTGGGGATCTTTTTTATTACAACTAGATGTGATGCCTAGCTTAGAAAGAATACATTAATGATTAAACATAATAGGTTTGTGCTGTACTGATATAGATTGTTTAACATAACAAGCTGTGATTAATGTGAAGAACCGTTAGGGGGTAGGCTGAGACAGACTTGTGACTCACATACACACACACTGCCTCTTTGTTAAACCGCTCAAGGACAAAGTACTGCAACATGAAGAAGAAAACTATGTCTGAGGTTGCTGACTCGAGACAAGTTGTAAAGATAACAACTAATGCCTGGCAACAGTGAAGCGCCAAGGGGCTGGGACCAGCCTGTGCGCCATTGATAGGTTGGGTAAGTTTAAACCACACCCAGCCTCTACTCTGACAGGCCCAGCAGGGAGCGGGAACTATCTCTGTCAGAGTATTTAAAGAAGAACTTATAAACAATAGCTCAGTTCTCTGACTGCCCTGCGTGGTTTTTCAGTGGGCCCGTATATACGAACATCATATTTACCATTCAAGTGTTTGCATTAATTAAAATACTAGTCTATTTTAGAAGACGTGTATTGACCTCTTTTTGTTCCTATACCAGATTTGAATTGACGCAACTTAACAATTGCTTTATGCTTATTGCACATTTATAAAACACAGACTAAACAGCTAGTATAACAATTGTTATTTGACTAAAATGCTACTAGCCATACGTGGTACCATAATGCGCGCGCGACAAACTGAGCATTCATTTTCCAGAATTAATGTTCATTGGTACATCCGTTTTAGTAGTGTCTGCTCTGCTCAAAATTTGAGAAGTTGTAACATATACACGGTATTGTTCGAAATATTAACTTCTCCTCTATTACAGTAAAAAATGTTTTGGTGTCCAAAAGACCGATTCTGTTGGACCAAACCTCAAATGCAAATAGTGAGTTGAAACCGTTTGTCAGAGAGGTAGAAGTTATATTTCATTTTTGTTGTTGTTAGTGGTAGGTGGAGGGGCTTGGGAGAAAGAGGTGAAACGAGAGGCCTCACTTCCCCCTATCTGAGATACCTACTGCAGCCCTTCCCCCTATCTGAGATACCTACTGCAGCCCTCATCCTCCACCCGTTATGCCTGTCACAGTCTGTTAAAGGTCCCCAAAGCACACACATCCCTGGGTTGCTCCTCTTTCCAGTTCGCTGCAGCTAGCGACTGGAACGAGCTGCAAAAAACACTCAAACTGGACAGTTTTATCTCCATCTCTTCATTCAAAGACTCAATCATCGACACTCTTACTGACAGTTGTGGCTGCTTCACGTGATGTATTGTTGTCTCTACCTTCTTGCCCTTTGTGCTGTTGTCTGTGCCCAATAATGTTTGTACCATGTTGTGCTGCTTCCATGTTGTTTTCATGTTGGGTTGCTACTTGGCTGTGTTGCTGCCATGCTGTGTTGTTGTCTTAGGTCTCTCTTTATGTAGTGTTGTGTTGTCTCTCTTGTTGTGATGTGTGTTTGGTCTTATATATATATATATATATATTAATCCCAGCCCCCGTAGCATTGTAAATAAGAATTTGTTCTTAACTGACTTACCTAGTTAAATAAAGGTTAAATAAATAAATAAATAAATAAATATCGTCATTATATACAGATATCTGGTGTAAATGGGAAGGTGCATATCACAGAAGGCGTGAAGGACACCAAAAAGACAACATGAGAACAAACGGACATAAACGCTCATAAAAACGAAAAATACAACAACAAAAAAACGATTCTGCGATAAATGCATTTGGAAAATCACGCAAAACCTTAAATTCGATTTAATTCGATATATCGCCCAGCCGTATGGATAGGGTCCAGTCGCGAAAGTGCAGACACGAAACATCCGAACCATTTTGAGAATTGTAAACATTCTTCATGCATGATTGGCAGTGCTCAATTCTCAATGTCAGTGGTGGCTACTAGCTAAACCGAATAATTATAGAGAGACGGTGAAAGAAATACTCATTTAAATCCAAAGATTATTTGTATAATGAAAGTATCAGCATGGATGCAAAGCAAAAGCTAAAAACGTGCTTGCTTATCATAGCGATAATCATTTGGCGCGAGCCAAGTTACGCCCCACGGAATTCATTCTTTCTTTGTCCGACGTTTGACTTTCCATCCACAACACTCAGTTGAAGTTGTTATGATGTTGGCGTGTCAACGATTTGTGAGTGTTGTGAGGAACTCAAGGACACTATCACGACATGTCACTACGTGGTCTCCGGTTGGAGCAGCCTTCAATGCCCAACGGAGGAAAGTTGATTTGTTTCAGAAGAACGTGGTAAGTTAGCTAGTGGTTTGTTTGCGGACCGCCATAATACCAGTAAATAATAAGTTAGCTAGCTGCATAAAATCCCAACCTATGTTAAATGACCTCATTGTCAAAGTCACCCATAATTGTATTCACTCAAATACTTGCTCTTTTCAGTTGGGGTTGTTGTTGCAAAGATCAACCTCGAAAACCAAGAGTTGGCCACACAGATTATTGACATGGCATTGTACATGCTATATTTGCACAGGGATTATTTGGCGTTCCAGGGTTGAGTACTCCGGCTGGTTTCGAGGTGGCTCAGCAACGAGCGCTCAGGGAAACAGAACAGCTGGTAGAAACAGCCTGCAATAACCCACCAGGCGCCCTGACCGTGGAGACTTTCGACCAACTTTCTGACAGCCTGTGCAAAGTGGCAGATTTGGTAATGGCTCACAGGCACACTCAGAGATCATTGGCATCATTGTTGTTGTCAAGCCAAACTCCTCCCTGTAGAATATGATACACCCATGATGTTGTATTTATTTTCTTGCAGGCAGATTTTGTCAAAGTTGGCCATCCAGACCCTGCCTTTCGGGATGCTGCTGAGAAGGCATGCATAAACATGGGCACAGTAGTAGAAAGGTATGAACCCTCTTCTGTAGTTTATCTAGTAAAGTATTACATGATGTCAAGCAAAACACATTTTTAATACATTCTTTCTTTGATGTTTTCTCTCGTTTGCCCTGATAGGCTGAACACTAATGTCGAACTGTGTAGGAGTCTCAAGAACCTATTAGATAACAAAGAGGTAATGGACTCTTTGGACCCAGACACAAGGCATGTACTATTCTCTTCTTTATTTTCAATTCAATCATTCTTTATCTTCCTGTTTGTACGATGAGTAGCAATGCATCTTGTCTTTTGCCCGACGACTCAAACTGAATTCTTCCGCTGCTCTATGTTTGCTACATATTTCATTGCGGAGATGAACCTAATGTCCGTGGGCGTGGCGTAACGTTAGGCCGGAGCGAGTTTGGGTAGACTTGTTTTACTGATATTTCACAATACATTTTGCAGGAGAGTAGCAGAACTGTTCATGTTTGATTTTGAGATCAGTGGCATTCATCTGGATGAATCAAAGGTTAGTGATGTAATAGGCTAGGAATGTAATTTCTATCACTTACACTTCATGGAAAATATTTTGGGATCAATTATTGTCATGTACACATTCATTATTATCCTACTATACCACATCCTCAGGGAAGTATAACCACAATGTGAGCTTAACCTAAACAGCACCTCTGTTTCACTGTATTAATATTTTCCCAGAGGGGGAAGGCGGTGAGCCTCAATGTCAACCTGCTGGATCTGAACAATGAGTTTCTTAATGGCTCCCACCTGCCCAGTAGGATAGAGAAGAGGGCCCTGCCAGAACACATCCGACACTGCTTCTCCATAGATGGCAACTCCATCCAGATAGGAGGTCTCCATGCAGATTCTCCTGATGAACTGGTGTGTGCGTGTGTGTGTGCAACCCAGAGGTTTATCTCTATACATAATTAGTGGTCTTCCATCTACCATCCCATAGTAGGAAATGGTATTGGGCATGATGGTTTGCTGTGCAGTAGCCTATAGATATTATATGCTTGTCCTTTTCTCTTAGGTGCGGGAGGCTGCTTATAAAATCTTTCTCTTCCCGAATTCAAGTCTGCTGCTTTGTCTGGATGACCTTTTGGCTTGTAGGAATGAGCTAGCCAAATTAGTGGGCTATGAATCTTTTGCACACAGGGCTTTAAATGGAACTATGGCCAAGACTCCAGGTAAGGTACTCTGGCTGTTTACCTCATTTCTTAGTGCTCCGCTGCTTTAATTAAGTATTTAATTGACTTTATGATTCTTCAAACAGAGAAGTGTGTACTATGCTGTGTTGACCAGTGTGTTTAGGATGTTTTTGTTTTGCAGAGACTGTCATGAAATTCCTTGAATTGCTGACAGACAAACTCTCGGACAGGTATGGTAGGAGTCAGTTATCCAGACACTGTACAACACATCAATGTTTTGCCCATCTCAAACATACTGTAAGTGTAGCACATGCTCACACATTAATGTCCCTATTTTTCTATCCAGAACTGCCAAAGATTTTAACCTGATGAGGGATATGAAGATGAAAATGAACTCAAGAAGTATCGTGAGTGATCTTATAGATGCGTTTAAGTAGCTCTCATGGTTCTGACATCTATGTGTAGGAGATCATGACAATCCTTCTACTGTTTGATGTTTCAATGTTTTTTTATCTCAGGAACTCATGCCATGGGACCACCCCTACTTGAGCAGCGCTGTGCGGGCAGAGAGGTAAGATACCTATACAAAGGTATGCAGTCCTGTAAACCTATGTGTATATTGTTAGTGGAAAGAATATAACTTGTTGACAAGGAATCGTAGGGAATCTCCTAAATAAACTATTGAAAGGTTGATGGGAGTACCTGAGCTTTATTTTCTACTAAAAGGCCTCTGGAGGGGGCTTGTGTATTGCTTAGCGTTATTCAGGAAACGGTCTGTAATAACATAACCTTATGAGTGTCTGTGTATGTTTGTGTGTGCAGGTATAAGATCGATCCCAGCCTGTACAGTCCTTACTTCTCCCTGGGGGCCTGCATGGAGGGCCTCAACATGCTGTTCAGCCAGCTGCTGGGGGTCTCCTTCCAGAATGAACAGCCCATGGCAGGAGAGGTGTGGAGCGAAGACGTCCACAAGCTGGTGAGAGAACACCAGCGCATACACACAGGAGAGAAGCCTTACAGCTGTGGTCAATGTGGGAAGAGCTTTGCTGTAGCTTCCTCCTTGACTAAACACCAGCGAACACACACTGGAGAGCAACCTTAGATAGATACAGTTGAAGTCGGAAGTTTACATACACCTTAGCCAAATACATTTAAACACACTGGAGAGAGACCTTATGTCTGTCTATGTGGGAAGAGCTTTGCTGTAGCTTCCTCCTTGACTAGACACCAGAGAACACACACTGGAGAGCAACCTTAGATAGATACAGTTGAAGTCGGAAGTTTACATACACCTTAGCCAAATAAGGTGTATTTGTCTGTCTGTATAACACTCAACACCAATGTCTGGGGGCCCAGCAGAAAATGTAATAGTTGCTGCTTGGCTTTTTGTAATTTTAAGGCCTTGTTTCTGTGATGTTTAGGTAGTTGGGGGTGGATTTTATTTTAAGCAGTCCTAAATGTCAGTTGGTTCTCTTAACAGGCTGTTGTCCATGAGACAGAGGGTCTTCTGGGATACATCTACTGTGACTTCTTCCGAAGGCCTGACAAACCACACCAGGTAAGACAAGCTGCTGCAGAAATACTGTCTAAAGCCTCTGCTACAGTAAGATACCAATGCTGATCATACCAAGGCCTTCTCTGTGCCCCCAGGATTGCCACTTCACCATCCGAGGGGGGCGTCTGAAGGAGAATGGGGAGTACCAACATCCTGTGGTGGTGCTGATGCTGAGCCTGCCCTCTCCCACACGCAGCACCCCAACACTGCTCACCCCCGGCATGATGGAGAACCTGTTCCACGAGATGGGCCATGCCATGCACTCCATGCTGGGACGCACGCGTTACCAACATGTCACAGGTGACCTGAGTCCAGGCCAGGGCCCACTGCTTTAGGAGGGATTTCCCCTGTCTCTCATTATTGCATTGCATATGTTGCGCATTTGCTTAGCAGACACATTTGCTTAGCAGACACAGTTAGTGAACTACCGTATGATAAATAGGTCTACAATCTTCTTGTATTTGTATGACCTCCTACGATACAGTACTAGCATGACATGTTATCGTGAAACATTTTACGTCATAGTACAGTTGGTAAACAATCTATTTTGTGAGAGACTCATCTTCTCCTGACTGGTCTTTTCCAGGAACCAGATGCTCCACTGATTTTGCTGAAGTCCCCTCCATCCTCATGGAGTTCTTTGCCACAGACTATCGGGTGGTAAATCAGTTTGCACGGCACTATCAGACCGGACAGGTGGGCAACACAAGTTCATACCCGTCGTCTGTAACTTTCCCTCTCACACAGTCATTCTTAAGATTGTAATCTATCTATATGGAGTAGCAGTAGTTCTTTAGCTGTTTGTCTATTGCTGTGTTCCCCAGATACAGTAGTGTCCAAAGCTGTCCTATCAGACTGTCTGTTATAATACTGTAGACTTTGGCAGCCCTTCTTTTGCCCCTTTGGTATGATAATAGTTCCGAGACGCATCACTAGCTCTGCATAAGCTCTGAACCAAATGCTCTCGGCTGTACTTGAACACACGTTGGTTTTGTGTGAAGTCTTTTGTCATGATTCTGAATCAGACTGAAAGTCTGTTGATTAGACAGACCACAAACAGACAAGCTAATAGCAAACTATTTATTTAGCCAAATACTGAAGATGGCAGAGGTTCACCACACAGAAGACTCGATAGATGGGTGTGTTTTGTCTTTCTCCAAAATATTTGTTTCTATTTCAGCCCCTGCCCAAGAGCATGGTCTCCCGCCTTTGTGAATCCAAGAGAATCTGTGGGGCTGCCGACACTCAGCTTCAGGTATAGCCACAGTGGCAGTTTGTGTGTCTTTCAGTACTTATGAAATAAAATTATTGGCATGTTTATTTTTTCACAGGTTTTTTATGCTGCTTTGGATCAAGTGTATCATGGCAAGCCACAAAGTCGGTCAACAACAGACATTCTAAAAAAGATGCAAGAGAAATTCTATGGACTACCTTACGTTCCAAATACTGTAAGTGCCTAGATATCTAAGAGTGAGTCTCATAGTACTGAAACTGTGGACGATGTACTGATCTGTGAATGTCAGATCCTTTGGGCATAAATAGTCATTAGACTATTCTCTCTACCGGATATAAACCATCCGGTTTGTACCCCTCTCTTAATGTGTGAGAGAGAATTTATATCCAGAGAGAAACATTAAACAGAATAGAACAACCCAGAGGCTATTTCTTCTCAACTGTAATTACAGTTGTGGGGAGAATGTGGACAGTAATGATTTTCTCCCTGAAATGGCTTACCACCACAGCTAACCAATATCTACTCCGAGAGCCCATTTTCTAGTCCTTTTCCATTCGTTTGTTGCCAAATAGCAGAGCTCAGGTTTTCCCTGGGGTATGATAAGAGTAGTTTCCCAAATGTGAAAAGACCAATTTAGGTCGGAATGAAAAATGATGCTGTACTTACATTTACATCATTTAGCAGACGCTCTTATCCAGAGCGACTTACAAATACTTCTGACTGTAGCCTCCTGTAGCTCAGTTGGTAGACATGGCGCTTGCAACGCCAGGGTTGTGGGTTCGATTCCCACGGGGGGCCATTATGAAAAATGTATGCACTCACTAACTGTAAGTCGCTCTGGATAAAAGCGTCTGTGGTGTTTTAATTTCAGGTACATTTTAAGTTTGTGCCTGGGCTTACAAGCCAAGCTGCATTTGTTGACTGCAGTGATCATATGGAGCCACTTTCACCCCGGTCTTTGTTTGGAACATGTTTGGAACTGTGAAACTCAGCTACCCTTTTGATAGGTCCTTATCTGTCATTGACCGTGAGAAGCAAAGGGGAGGGTTCCCACTGGGTTTGGCTTATAACAAGTCACCACACAGACAGTCGAGCTCTTATCATTAAAGCAAGACTGTGTAGGAGTTAGAAACAACTGGCCGGAGAGAGAGAATACACAGAAGCAGCATCATTCCGAAGAGAAGATAGGTACTGCACGTCTCACTTATGTTCTGTGGCCAATTTAGTCGTCTTCTGTAAGGTGGGTGGGACGTGGGAGAGAGGTTTGAAAAAATATTTTCAGATTGACAATGTTGCTTGAATATAAAATGTATTTAATAGTAAAAATGGAAGTGTCTTTCAGGGTTGGGGTTAATTCCACGAATTAAATTCCCTCTCCCTGTCAATGTAATTCAATTTAAATTCCAGGTCAGTCTTTGAATTCAGAGGTAATTCAATTCCTCTCAATTACAATGTTATGTAAATTCAAAGAATTCAAGTCCCAATTCAATATTATCCCCAACAATTCCACAAATTCCAATTAGAATTCAATTCCCTCAGGCTTTCAGGCTGATCATGTCACTGTTCAGACAGCCTAGCTATACTGGAAGTATAGAAATACAAGTTGAAATGATTTAAAACAGATCCTGCAGTCCATTTCTTATACTAAGTGCATAAATTCCATTCACTGGGAAATGTTCAAATATTAAATTCCAAAGATGTTTTAATATTTTTTATTCCACTTCAAACAGTCTAATTCAATTCCAATTCCAAAACATGAAGATTGTTGAAATTAGAATTGAAGTCAACGTAAATTCTCTACTTAATGAGTGAATTTAATTGGGATTTCAAATTAAATTGGAATGGACCCCAACCCTGGTGTCTTTAGATAAAGACAGGTAACTGGTACTCTTGTCCCTAGGCCTGGCAGCTGAGATTTAGCCACCTCATTGGCTACGGTGCTAAGTACTACTCCTACCTCATGTCGCGCGCCATAGCCTCCATGGTGTGGAGGCAGTGCTTTCAAAAAGACCCCTTCAACAGGTGAGAGAAACTCATGTTGGAAACGCATGTTGTAAATGCAGATGTTTTATTTTCTCAAAGGTCTTATATGTTTGGTCTGCCATGTGAAGTCCCTGCTATTTTACTTTAGGGAAATCTCTACCTGATAAATGGATTCACTCACACTAGTCTGATCATGACGGGTGACAAAAAAGTGACAACACACCCACATCACAGATATCACTGTGACATCAGGGGATTTGTGTTTAGAAATGCAATATTATTTTGCCTGGGGTGTTTTGTTTTTCTCAGAGCTGTGTTTTATTCTCTGCTCTTTTTGTCTCTGTCATGGGGGCTTGTAGAGTGGCAGACTACAGTTCCCTGTCAGTGGCAGTGAAAAGCACAGCTCAACCCACAGAAAAACTAAGCCAGTACAGTATTCAGAGGCAGACATATCCTTATCTGTCTGACATAAACCCCAATCCGATCTCTCTCTACCTCTCTCTTTCTGCCTATTCACCCCCTCCGTTTAATGTCCCACCACAGGGACATGGGAGAGCGCTATCGAAGGGAGATGCTAGCTCATGGAGGTAGTAAGGAGCCCATGCTTATGGTGCAAGGTAAGGAGCTCCCACTCAGTCACTATTTGTTTTGGCCACTACCTTCCTCCCTTAGGGTTCTTGCACACTCTTTTCGCCCTATTAGTTCCTTCCCCAGGTCACCACTCCTGTATGTATACTACAGTGCCTTCAGAAAGTATTCACAACCCTTGACTTTTTCCACATTTTGTTGTGTTACAGCCTGAATTTGAAATTGATTACACACAATATCCCATAATGTCAAAGTTAACAAATCAATAAAAAATGAAAAGCTGAAATGTCTTGAGTCAATAACTATTCAATCCCTTTGTTATGGCAAACATAAGTAAGTTCAGGAGTAAAAATGTGCTTAACAAGTCACATAATAAGTTGCATGGACTCACTCTGTGCAATAATAATACTTAACATGATTTTTGAATGACTACCTCATCTCTGTACCCCACACATACAATTATATGTAAGGTCCCTCAGTCGAACAGTGAATTTCAAACACGAACCACAAAGACCAGGGAGGTTTTCCAATGCCTCGCAAAGAAGGGCACCTATTGGTAGATGGGTAAAAAAACAAAAAACAGACATTGAATATCCCTTTGAGCATGGTGAAGTTATTAATTACACTTTGGATGATGTATCAATACACCCAGTCACTACAAAGATACAGGTGTCCTTCCCAACTCAGTTGCCAGAGAGGAGGGAAACCGCTCAGGGATTTCACCATGAGGCCAATGGTGACTTTAAAACCGTTACAGAGATTAATGGCTGTGATAGGGGAAAAAAAGAGGATGGATCAACAACATTGTAGTTACTCCACAATACTAACCTAATTGACAGAGTGAAAAGAAGGACGCCTGTACAGAATACAAATATTCCAAAACATGCACCTGTTTGCAATAAGGCACTAAGGTAATTCTGCAAAACATTGTGGCAAAGCAGTTACATTTTTGTCCTGAATACAAAGTGTTATGTTTGGGGCAAATCCAATACAACGCATTACTGAGTATCGTTGTCCATATATTCGAGCATAGGGGTGGCTGCATCATGTTATGGGTATGTTTGTAATCGTTAAGGACTGGGGACTTTTTCAGGATAACAAATAAACGGAATGGAGCTAAGCACAGGCAAAATCCTAGAGGAAAACCTGGTTCAGTTTGCTTTCCACCAGACACTGGGAGATAAATTCACCTTTCAGCAGGACAGTAACCTAAAACACAAGGCCAAATCTACACTGGAGTTGATTACCAAGAAGACAGTGAATGTTCCTGAGTGGCCGAGTTACAGTTGTGACTCAAATCTACTTGAAAATCTATGGCAAGACCTCAAACTGGTTGTCTAGAAATGATCAACAACCAATTAGACAGAGCTTAAAGAATGTTTGGCAAATGTTACACAATCCAGGTGTGGAAAGCTCTTAGAGACTTACCCAGAAAGACTCACAGCTATAATCACTGCCAAAGGTGCTTCTACAAAGTATTGACTCGGGTGTGAATACTTTGCAAAGGTTTCTAAAAATATGTTTTCACTTTGTCATTGTGGGGTATTGTGTGTAGATGGGTGAGATAACACAATTCATTTAATCAATTTTGAGTTCAGGCTGTAACACAACAAAATATGGAATATGTCAAGGGGTATGAATACTTTCTGAAGGCACTGTATATTATCAACTTATATCATTTTGGCAATGCCACCAATGCATAGCACTTGAAGTTTGTTTTGCTAGTGCATATGCCTTAGGCGCAGGCTTTGGCTACTTCAAACTCTTAATTATAGTGGTATGTGTGATGATGGCAGTTGCTTTGCTTTGCCCTGGGGTTGGAAATTGGTAAAGACTGCTACTGTGTGTCATGGCCCTCTGATGGCTCCCAGGTTATCCTGAAACCACCATAAATCTCAAGACAGGAAGCTTTATTTGTGTTTTAAAGGAAAGATTCACCCATTCCCCAGGAATCGATGAAACATTGCTCAGAAATGCACAAAAAACGATATAATGCTCAAAATGGGTGAATATTTCCTTTAATTTGCACACACTTAATTCAAAGCCTTATTTATCTCCAGATAGATTTTTACATCCAATTAGCAAACGTTGAAACTAGATGTTATTCCATCCACTCACAGCCAAAAAGCTAAACCCACTCTCATTAACATTCCTTGGAGTCACTCAGAATTTTGGCACCGGCTCTTGTTTTTCATAGCCACAGTTGTGGTGGGGCTCTATAGTCTCAGTGGAAAGATGGGCTGACGTTCATGATTTGTTGGTAGTTGAAGAAGATCAAAAACATGAACCACTGGCATTAATATATGCCATTTAGCAGACGCTTTTATCCAAAGCGACTTACAGTCATGTGTGCATACATTTTTACATATGGGTGGTCCCGGGGATCGAACCCACTACCCTGGCGTTACAAGCGCCATGCTCTACCAATTGAGCTACAGAGGACCACATTACTCTCCCATAGGGCCAAAGTGAGGTATATGGCTTTCATTTTCAGTTGCTGTGGTAACTCGATCAGGCTCTGAGAGTGTTGACATGCATCCCTGGTAATGAACCTCTTAGTAGCTGTCAACATGACATGAGTACAGCCCAAGCTGAATTGTGTTACTATACAGAATAAGCACAGATACTCAGTGGTGTATTACAAGCCAATTTAACATTGACCTGGTGCCATCTAGTTTAATTTCTGTACATATGAATGAACTCAAAAACACAACGAATCCAGGTTAAAGCAATAGATATCAATAAAATATCAAGATTTTCTTTCCCCCAGACAAGTTAAACATTTTCGTCATAGAAGTCCTTATAAGTCCTTTGTATCTAAATCTGTCCCCCTCTCTCCTGGCTTGTTCCATGGTTTGTAGGCATGCTTCAGAGCTCCCCTACCATTGAAGAATTAGTGGACGCTCTAGTAGCTGACCTGGACACAGACTCTGTAACCTGCCGTGATGATTCCTCTTGAGCAGATTGTACTTTAGTTGTTTTTTTACCTACTGTGAATTACCACTGGAAATTAGGGGCAGTGCCCCTCCCCACTTACCTCGTCCTACACACGGTGATGTTGAATTTTAAAATTGATATTACTCTGCAGTGGCCTGATGAGTATGAGGGAATGAAAATATGAAGTGTGTATAATATTGTATTTGACTTGTGATGCATCCTTGTCCCATTGTGAATTATGAACCCTTATAAAACGCTATATTGTCTTGTCTACTATTTGTTTTGTCATCTGAACAACTAGTGTTCTCTTACTTGGCTATCACTCTCTAAATCTCTAGCTACAGGTTTCAGCTATTGAATGAATGATAGAGGAATTATGATTATGACAAAAATTGTTAACCCCAATACTGATGATGACTGTGTGAACTGTGTTAGGGTTATCATTATAAACCCACTAACAGAGGGGGTGAGTTAGAAACTGCTGAGACAAACATTCCAGGGTGAAGGGGACTGAGAAACTGGTTAAAGGCCTCCTAAAGGTGGGCGGAGCAAAGTGCCTTTGTGTGTCAAGGGGTATAAAAGCTGTATATGTGTTTTTTGGCGGCAGAGCTCTCCATGATTAAACATACAGATCATTCTTGCCGGTTGTGGACCTTTGTTTAATTCATGATTAAACCAGAGCCTTACACCCTCTGGGAATTATTCAGAGCATTAAGTTTGATTAATTAGAGATAAAAATTCTCGTGACAAATGGTCCTTCGAGCGGAGCTCAAAATACGTCTTTATCGTTCTGAGGACACCGAAAACCGTGCACGGGCGGATGATAGCATCCGTATAGAATAGACCTGGCCTTTGACGTTAAGGTTATAAATAGGCCGGTGATGAACCTTATGAACGATAAAGACGTTGACGAGATCTGAAAAAGCATTTAAATCCCAACTGCAAGGATAAGGTCAGTAATTTTTATTCATGGCTTTTGGTGAAATGATTTGAACTTGTGTGAAGGGCAGAGAAGTTACCAAAATCTCATAAGGGTATAAAGGAAGGAATGGGGCCCGAAAATGACTCTAGGTAATAGGCCTATACCAAAATAAACTAGTTAATATTGAGATTGTACAAGATACAGTCTTTACAATATAAACAGGAAGGGAGATAATTATCATCGTGTGAAATAGATACATTAAACAAGTCAAGAGTCATAAACAACTGGGGATTTGCTCTAACTCTGTCTATTTCATAAAACTAGAGCAGGTTACTCTGGGTTACAGGTTGAATAATTTAAATGGTTGATTACAAAAGCAGATCATAACATTTACTCAAAAGTCGCACCTAATAATAAGTCCCAAAGAAAATAATTCTTGATTGAATTATTACTAAATGGGGGGATTTCTTCTTTTTCTACCATGGGAAATAAATATTCTAAAGAGGTCCGAGAATTAACGGGGGATGAAAGATATATGTTAGGAAGGGATCAAAGAAATATGTATTATGGATCCATTTGGGAGAAGAGATATGGATTTATTGGGCATCTCGATGTAGAGAAATTAGAGGCTATGATTAGGCAGATTCATGTAAACTGTGGAACGGATTTGAAGAAACAGCGAGGGGAGGGGCTAGAGACAGCGAGAGTATGGCTTTTGGAGGCTCGAAAGCGAGAGGAAGGACAGAAAAGGAAAGAAATAGTTATGCAGAGAGAAAATAAAGTAAAAGTTGAGGTTTCAGTGCCTCCCCAGAGCAGAGGGCAGAAAGGTTATATCGAGTAAAATTAGGACTGGTCCCCGCCCCTCCCCCACCATATGACGGCCAAGCCGGAATGTTGGAAGAGGGGGAAGAAGGGGGCAGAGTAGGGAGGCCAGTAAAGAGAAGAAAGAGGGGGAAGTTTTACAGAAAGAACTTACAGAACTCAGGGAGAGTGGAGAGGAAATAGGCAGGCTAAGAGAAGAACTGGATAGAGAGAAAGTTGAGAAGGGCTACAGAATTTAAACACAGAGAGTTGAAGAGATTAGAGAGCTATAATAAAACTGGGAGGCAGAATAGGGGAGGAGATAAGAGGAAGTGCTTTAACTGTAACAAGGAGGTTCATTTTGCCAGAGAGTGTGAGGCCCCGTGTAAATACTGTAACAAAACAGGTCATAACCATCGCGACTGCAGAGCTAAAGGAAAGGGCAGTGTCCGGGAAATGACAGTCTATTTTTTGGTTCCACAGGTAAAATGTTTGAAGAAGTGATTTGTGTCGATTAAGAATTGGCTAAAAACACCACGAAGCGATTATTTGAGAGGTACCTATACATTTCTAACGATATACGTATGAACTTTCTCACCCAAACGTAGGCGTACGTCATGGGTGAGAAAGTAGAGAATATTTACATTTACATTTTTTGTCATTTAGCAGACGCTCTTGTCCAGAGCGACTTACAGGAGCATTTGGGGTTAGGTGCCTTGCTCAAGGGCACATCGACAGATTTTTTCACCTGCTCGGCTCGGGGATTGGAACCGGCGACCTCTCGGTTGCTGGCACAGCGCTCTTAGTCACTAAGCTACCTGCCACCCCATATGAGTTTAAGGTTGTGCCGTTGTTTGATTATGTGATAAGGTTTAATGGGTAATCGGACCATAACTAATGTGGTTATAGAAGTAATGTATAATATAGTAGAGAGCCAATAGAGGGTTCCATTGAACTATTATGGTTTATTGGGCATTTCAATGGCATAAGGTGAAATCTGTATGTATGAGTGAATTCAACGGCTGGTATGGGTGGTATCCGGATACTATTGAGTATTTGGTTTGGTGATGTTGAATGGAAGATTTGCAGCGTGGTTTGGGTTAAATAGAAAGACTCACTTATTCAACAGGAATAGGTGCAGGGAGAGAGAGTTTTTGTGTTGCTGAATGAGGTGAGCGCTAGTGCGGTTTTCATTTGGTGACGTCACTTGCTCTATGAACTGGAAGTAGTTGCTTTGAAAGGATCGCGGATTTTGTGGAGTGACTGGCAATGTATGTAGAGGGTCCCTGGTTCGAACCCAGGTAGAGACAGTGGGTAAAGCTTTCGCATTGGGGCTATGGACCTAGATTACTACGTGGATTGAGAAATGTGAAAAGTTGAATTAGATAGCTTTAGAAGTATTCTAGAAAGGTCTATGAAAATATGTTACAAGTACGAATGACATGATTTCCTAAGAAGGAAGATGATTAGGGCAGGTCCCCGCTCCTCCCCCGTTGTGTAGGAAGGAGCAGGGAGGGGGGGGGAAGGGGTGAGAGACAGTACATAGTTCAAATGATAGGAATATAATTAAATGTATGCTTATCAACGATAGCAAGTATTTTTTTTATTAATTAGGGCCTAATCAGAGAGAACAGTTAAAGAAATTGAATAGCGAACTGAAATTGCGATAGAGCTATGAAAATTATTTAAGTTGAGGACAAAGGAAAATAATTTATGGTTCTAGTTCCCGGGTAAAAGAGTTGTACTTGCTTGACTGTATCGAGCAGAAGTTTGAATAGTTGAATGAAAAGCATTTCTTTGACAAAGTCTAATGGTTATTACTTTATTGTATAGGTTGGGTAACACCAGTGGTGTATGAAAATAATTGGTGATTTCTAAAACGATAATCTGTTTATGGTACGTTGAACAATGGGATATAGTTGTGACTATTAGGATGATGGATTGAATAAACATTGGTTATAAGTATTAAGTTATTAAACAATAGGTTTATATTTTTAAAAACATCAATGCAACAGGTTGCGATGATTAAATTAATAGAAAGGGGTTATAGGGTTATATTAGAAGTTGTAGTGAACTTAATGAAACGTGGTATTATATAGTGTCTTCCAGGGTTGATGGAAGTCTCCTATAGCATTATGTTAAGGGTATGCCTGGAATAAAATATAATGTCTTACTTACACGGAGTATGTGATTGTATTGGCTAATGAATGAAATATGACATTTACAGGGGCGAAAGGAACAATAGCAGGGGAGACAGATTTTCCTATGGTGTTGGTAAAATAATTGATAATGGATCATTTGAGATGAGAACACATGGAGCAGATTTAGGGGTTCAATAATCATTGTGAGATTAGTTATGAGGAATTAGATTGATACAAATGATTATTGATGAGTTAGGACTGGGGATATCTGTATCATGTTTTGTGTGTACTTACCATCTTTAGATTACTGATGGTAATTGAAGGTTAACAAAATGTATAACCAGGAGAAAGAGATTAGCTTATCTCCATTGGAATGTTGCCCAGGGCTAGGGGGAGCAGTTGTGAAGTTAGGCAGTATTTAGGTCGTAAAAGTGAGCTACCAAATTAAGTGGGGCCTGGCTATTTTTGATTGTTGTTTTTCAATTGGGTTTTTCAAATAAAAAACAACACACCTAGTATGATGTTTATAAAGGGTTGTTATGTTGAATTTAGGGGGTTTTCAACAGTTCATAGGTGATGGGTCTTAAAGGAGCACACACAGTGAATTTTATGGAGTTTTTCTGTTTTTTTTAAACTGAGTTTAGGGTATACATGATTTCTTATGAGAATAAATGTCATGAGGACTTAATGAACACTTGGGATAAGTAACATTTATGAAATATTTAGAATGATGGTAATGTTTACTATACTATGGGATGGAATAGTTGGTTGAATGATTTAAATGGCCTCTGAACTCTGTTTTGACTTTCTGGTGTTAATTAATCATCCACACTGGTAATTCTAAAGGCATGAGAGGAGGACTTTAAGATAGTTTATTTTATCAAGTTGAGGGTAATTTATAATACTATGAAAAGTGTGAAGAAGATGATAATTTGGTAATAATATGATTTGAACCATAAAATAACGGAAGAGAGAGAGAGCTTTCCCTGAATGAGGGATACCTGTTGCTAGTCAATTGTACTAATCGTGGATTACTTTTACGGGATAGAAGTAAGTTGAGATATTATCAAATGTTGTCATTTAAATTTCATTTTTATTATGTTTTAATAAACAACAACTTGGTATTTGAAACTAAATTAATGCAATGAGCTGCAGTAATCAGAGGAAGGCACAATCTAATGCGAAACAGCTATTACCTAGATCATTGATTTAGTAATAAGATCAGGAAGATAGTAATAATAGGAAGCTGGATAGGAGAATTTAAGATAGGGACTAGCTGTCCAGAAATAGATGAAGAAGGATGAGTTAAGGAATAAATGCAGAGACGAAATACAGAAAGAGTTGTGAAGTGTTCTTCTATACTTGAAGTACCAAAACCGTTAAACAAAAAACAAATGATGAGCTTTTTGGGAATAATAGACTACTGTAGAGCTTGGGTACTCCATTATGTACTGCATACTGGTAAATTAAGTGATCTTATCTATGGGAAGGCAATGGCAGCCCATGGTAAAATCATTTGGAACTCTGAGGAGGAGGAGGAGCAATTTATGAAGATAAAAAAGTTGCTCACTTCCCAAACAGTCTTAGCTTTTCCTACATATAACAGGGATTTTACCCAAATGGTAGAGAGTAAAGAGGGATATATGACATTGGTCATGATTAAGAAAGATTAACTGGGTTAATCACGAACATAGAGTTTGAATTCTTTGTTGCTAGGCGGAAGACTTAGTTAGGTTATTTCAGTGTGTAAGTGAAGTGGGAATCCATGGCTGTCCTACGGCTGTCCTACGTTATCAGTGAATGAAAGCAGATGGGAGCCTTTTGCTTCTCTCCTCAAACAGAGAGGAAAAAGCTGCCAGGGTTGAGCAGAGTTCAGGCTGAAACCTTTGTCTCTCCTTTGATATCTTCTGGATTGATTACAGCATGAATGGGGGTTTGTGTTAGGTTTGAAAGATTTAAGTATGGACCTGTCATGTCCAACCATCAGTCTTCAGGTCAAGCCCGGGAGAGCCGGGGTAGAACAGAGTTTGAACTAAACATGAGTGTTTTTACAAGATAAGGGATTGATTGATTGGATTACTATTGATTCTGAACTGAATGAAAGTCGAATTTAGCCGCCATAAGAGACAAAGGAAGTGGGAGGAGCAATAAAGAAGCAAGGGACAGTCTCAAAAATAAATAAGGGATGGCAATTAAATGATAAATTACCAATATTACCTAAGTGATTGTTAAGGTAGGTGGTAATATTGACACATGAGCAGAAACATGTGTCAAAGGGGGGGATGATAGTAGATGGTAGGATTAAATAATAAATATACGAAGGAGAGGAGAAAATACTTTTTTTTTAAAATAATAATTTAGATACAGTCTAGAAAGAGAATACTGATGTGAACGGTATGATTAGAGAGGGGTTAAGGAAAACACACAGGAGAGCAGGAAGAAATGGGGTACAAGGTCTACCGATAGTATTAATGACGATCAGGAGAACTCCAGATGAAGAAGGGTTATTGCCATTGGAGAAGGGATTTGGTAGACCATACAGAATGCCCGAGTTAGGAGGACCGGAGAAGGCAGAAATAGAAATGAAGAGCACCCTAGCAGAACATGTGAGAAGGTAGTTTATTAACCACACCGGTATGTCAGAAGTTTTGTGCCCCACAGGTGAACTAAAGGAGAAGGTGACCCACTCTATCTAACCAGGTGACTGGTGAGCATCCAGTCCCTAAAGAAGAAAGACTGGGAGCAGGCCTGTTGGGAAGGGCCCTATCAGGTTATATTGGTCACTGCCTTTGCCATTAGAATAGCAGAAAGAGCAACCTGGGTCCACGTTACCCACTGCAAAAAGGTAAGAACACATACAAGCACCACTGAACACACGCAGAGTTAGAGAGAAGAACTGAACCAATAGGGTCTGGGGATCACCTCTGTTAACGAAGATATCCTACCCCGACCTATCATCACTGTAGTGTGTTCTCAGGGTGTGAGTATGGGGTAGTACCAAGCAGAAAGACTGAGGACAGGAGAGGGTTGGCGGTTTTTGGGAATAGGGGTGACTTGAGCTGCATCATAGTCTCGGCAATGGTCTTGATATGTCAAGATCCACCACCAATTACGCTATGCCCTTACCATTGTTAAGAAGTAAAAAAGAGAAGAGAAGCGACCCGACATACTGACCATCAAGGACGAGTGGCCTACAAAATGGGAGTCAGAGAAGGGCAGACTGTCAGATTCAAAATAAGGGTTAGGGACGTAGCCAACGGGTGGGGTACATGTCAATAAGCAACTTGGGATTATAAAATCCCAATATATTCGTGTTCGGCCCCCACGGCGGATTGTTCCTAGACTCAAGTGTTTAAACACACTTGGGGACGGGGATATGAGACCGGGCGGGACTGAACATCCAGATGGGGGGTAAAGAGAAACAAAGACATCACCAATTATCAATTGGAGATAGTAGTAATGTGACTGACTTTAAGTTCGGAAGCACAGGAGAGAATTCTAAACCTTACAGCCTCTGTAACCGATGTGTGGTGGGCGTGTGCCAGTAAAGGCAGTATAAGGCAGAGAATACCAAAAGGGTGGCTAGATACGTGCGCCCTGGTTCTACTGATTCAGCTAGTTAGAATTAGTCACCAGGAACCAAGGAAAGGGTTAAACAGACGTAGGAGGAGTTTTAACAAGAAGGAGAATAGCCCTATTTAGATGGATGCGATTGGGGTATCAAGGGGGGTACCGGATGGATACCAAGCTATGAAAGAATTAGGGGAAGGATTTACTACCACGTTCTTTTGGTGGGTGACAATAAACAAAATTGTGGATTGGATTAATTATATCTATTACGACCAACAACGATTTATTGGCCAGAGTAGGGATGCAATAAAAGGGATCTCTGAACAATTATCCGCCATCTCACTCATGACTTAGGAAAAGAGGTTGGCTCTAGATCAGGCAGAAAGGGGCGGTGTCTATAGAATGGTAAGCCATTGTTGCACATTTATCCCTAACAACACCACACCGGATGGGACGGTCACCAGAGCTCTTGCAGAATTAACTGCTCTAAGTGAAGAATGAGCTGAGAACTCAGAAGTTAGTACATCTTGGATAGGGTGGTTTGATGAAATGTTCGGTAAATGGAAAACCATAGCAGCCACCATCTTAAGGGCGGTCAGCGGTTATATGGGTATTCTTGTATTATGTTGTTGTCTTGTTCCCTGTGACCGTTGGTGAGATATGGAGGGAATCCGGACTCTGACCAGTGGAATGTGAAAAACGATCCTCCAGGCTTGGTGGATGACGAGGACTTTCACCCTGAAAGACCGCAATTGGATGAAATGTTTATTAGTTCTGACGTATGAATATCAGATTGGTCATGCTTGTAAATACAATTATCCTAAGGGTGTAAACATTTTGTCAAAGGGTGGACTGATAGAGGAATTATGATTATGATTAAAATTGTTAACCCCAATACTGATGATGACTGTGTGAACTGTGTTAGGGTTATCATTATAAACCCACTAACAGAGGGGGTGAATTAGAAACTGCTGAGACAAACATTCCAGGGTGAAGGGGACTGAGAAACTGGTTAAAGGCCTCCTAAAGGTGGGCGGAGCAAAGTGCCTTTGTGTGTCAAGGGGTATAAAAGCTGTATATGTGTTTTTTGGCAGCAGAGCTCTCCATGATTAAACATACAGATCATTCTTGCCGGTTGTGGACCTTTGTTTAATTCATGATTAAACCAGAGCCTTACACCCTCTGGGAATTATTCAGAGCATTAAGTTTGATTAATTAGATATAGAAATTCTCGTGACAATGAATCACTCTTGAATGCTTCTTTTGTGAGACAGACGGTCAGCAGCCTGATTAGTGAAACAAGTGAAAGAGCTGTGGGCCTGCCAGTGTTTTGACATAGAGGATAAAGGGCCGGTGGGTGTCTGTTGTCTGTCTGAGGGGCTGCAGATAAATGACAGACTTACTAGAGCAAATTTGAGGGATCTGGCTCCGTGCTGGCCTCTCGAAGAGCTCTACTGTATTCTCTGGTTTTCCTTCATACTAACGACCACCATTAGAATATTGTTTAACACTTTGCTTGACACCTTGCTCATAACGGCTGCTTGACACCCTGCTCGTAAAGGCTTCATATCAATGTCGAAAACAAAGTATTGAAAACGGGTGCCATCTATCTTTTTGAGATGTTTTATTATTTGTTAAACAATCTTTTTCTAAGCAATTGTATTACCATACAATTATATATTTCAATTTTTTGTTGTTGCATACAGTAGCTCAGTATTTGTATTATTTTATAGTATTTTTTGCTGATCTTTATCAAGGGTGCCAATAATTTTGCATGTGACTGTAAATTACAAGATTTTTCTAAATGTATTAATGTTTTAATACAAATTCCAAGATAATTGGTCAAATTTAAACTTGTACTATATCAGACCTCAGCCCACACGTATTTGGTAATGGCAATGAAATGAGCTCAGGAAAATAACAGAAGCAGAAAATACTGGTTTGAATGGCTTTGAAACCAGCAAGTCAAGTTTCTGTCAGCAATTGCAATGTCTTTCACATAACCACAAGTCTGTTATGATGACAGTCAACATATCAAAGGTTATTCTCATGAAGAAATGGTCCCTGCTTTAAGGCCTACACAGTACAGTTTAGTGAATCCCAGATCTTTAGTTTGATACAGCATGGGTCCATGTCTTCTCTTCTGTCAATGTTCCATCATCCTCTAAGGAAAGTTCCTCATCAGACACTTCCAGGTCAGTTTGGTAGAGGTCATGGTTCACCTCCCTGGGCAGTGTGTTCTCTAGTGGTCTTATCTGTGACTCCCAGGCAGGATATGTGGCCATTCCATTGCTGTTCTGAGAACAGTGTAGATGGAAGCCACTGCTGTGCTCCATGCTGCAAGGTTCCTCAGAGAACTGATAGGGGAACAGCTTCGCTGGACCTAAGGACAGAAAAATGCAGTTTTATAGATGTTGATGGGGCATGTCAAGTGCAGAAATTCAAGTTATGCACTACTCTCAAGTGTGGATTTGGCCCCATGTGCATATTGGTAAAGAATGACATGAAAAGGTTATTTGCAAGCCCAGGGTAACATAACAACATACCACAAGTTATGCCCGTGCCATGGTAGCAGTTAGAGGTGGTCTGATGTGGTATCTGATGGACCTGAATGTGCTCAAAGCTGGGGAACTCTGCGTCATAGCAGCTACCACCCTGGCATGGCTCTGATTAGTGCAAAACAAAAGTTGTATTTACTTTTTACATTAACACAAGAGTTTATATCAATAAATATTTGACATGGTATAAATACAGCATAATATCGGCATTAAACATTGTTTCACATGATTACAATCTTAGTAGGCACAAGGGGGATGAGTGAGAATCTGTGATTGAGGCAGGGTTACCATGAGGTTTCTTCTCCAGCTGTCTTTTGCAGTAGATGGCACAGAAAAGCATTAGGGCCAGTAGGACAGAAGCCAGAGAGATGCAGATGACTACAGCCAGGACAGTGTCCCTGGGGCTTGCCACCACGGACGAAAGGGGCACCAGGTTCACCCTGCTACTGCCTACATAGTAAACATGCATATACACACACGCATGCGAACAAACATCACTATAGCTCTTTATCCTTAGGTGCAATACTGCAAACCCACAAACATGCATTTCATATTAGAACAGTTTTGACACCCACTTTCTCAAAGTACAGTGGGGAAAAAAAGTCTTTAGTCAGCCACCAATTGTGCAAGTTCTCCCACTTAAAAAGATGAGAGAGGCCTGTAATTTTCATCATAGGTACACGTCAACTATGACAGACAAAGAAACAAAAATCCAGAAAATCACATTGTAGGATTTTTAATGAATTTATTTGCAAATTATGGTGGAAAATAAGTATTTGGCCAATAACAAAAGTTTCTCAATACTTTGTTATATACCCTTTGTTGCCAATGACACAGGTCAAACGTTTTCTGTAAGTCTTCACAAGGTTTTCACACACTGTTGCTGGTATTTTGTCCCATTCCTCCATGCAGATCTCTTCTAGAGCAGTGATGTTTTGGGGCTGTCGCTGGGCAACACGGACTTTCAACTCCCTCCAAAGATTTTCTATGGGATTGAGATCTGGAGACTGGCTAGGCCACTCCAGGACCTTGAAATGCTTCTTACGAAGCCACTCCTTCGTTGCCCGGGCGGTGTGTTTGGGATCATTGTCATGCTGAAAGACACAGCCACGTTTCATCTTCAATGCCCTTGCTGATGGAAGGAGGTTTTCATTCAAAATCTCACGATACATGGCCCCATTCATTCTTTCCTTTACACGGATCAGTCGTCCTGGTCCCTTTGCAGAAAAACAGCCCCAAAGCATGATGTTTCCACCCCCATGCTTCACAGTAGGTATGGTGTTCTTTGGATGCAACACAGCATTCTTTGTCCTCCAAACACGACGAGTTGAGTTTTTACCAAAGAGTTCTATTTTGGTTTCATCTGACCATATGACATTCTCCCAATCCTCTTCTGGATCATCCAAATGCACTCTAGCAAACTTCAGACGGGCCTGGACATGTACTGGCTTAAGCAGGGGAACACGTCTGGCACTGCAGGATTTGAGTCCCTGGCGGCGTAGTGTGTTACTGATGGTAGGCTTTGTTACTTTGGTCCCAGCTCTCTGCAGGTCATTCACTAGGTCCCCCCGTGTGGTTCTGGGATTTTTGCTCACCGTTCTTGTGATCATTTTGACCCCACGGGGTGAGATCTTGCGTGGAGCCCCAGATCGAGGGAGATTATCAGTGGTCTTGTATGTCTTCCATTTCCTAATAATTGCTCCCACAGTTGATTTCTTCAAACCAAGCTGCTTACCTATTGCAGATTCAGTCTTCCCAGCCTGGTGCAGGTCTACAATTTTGTTTCTGGTGTCCGTTGACAGCTCTTTGGTCTTGGCCATAGTGGAGTTTGGAGTGTGACTGTTTGAGGTTGTGGACAGGTGTCTTTTATACTGATAACAAGTTCAAACAGGTGCCATTAATACAGGTAATGAGTGGAGGACAGATGAGCCTCTTAAAGAAGAAGTTACAGGTCTGTGAGAGCCAGAAATCTTGCTTGTTTGTAGGTGACCAAATACTTATTTTCCACCATAATTTGCAAATAAATTCATTAAAAATCCTACAATGTGATTTTCTGGAAAAAAAATTCTCAATTTGACTGTCATAGTTGACGTGTACCTATGATGAAAATTACAGGCCTCTCTCATCTTTTTAAGTGGGAGAACTTGCACAATTGGTGGCTGACTAAATACCCCCCACTGTATGTCAAAACAAGACCATGCAGATGTCTTTTTAAGTGTGGGATAATTCAGATTTGTATTTGAGTGTGGGTGCAGTGTCTGTGAGTGTACATGTGTTTGTAGGCTACTGTGTGTGTATATTTTGTTTTTCAGTGAGGCAGTGAATGCTATCTCATATGTCCTCTTTAGTAGTGGCTTCTCAAAGCCAAAGATGCAGCACATTGAGTCTGGTTGTCTTTGTGTGCTGAGTCTGGTTGTCTTTGTGTCTCCCCAAATCTTTCCTGCTTATCAGTTCAGATAGAGGACAACCCACTGAAAGAAGTGCACATGCTGATCTAATCATAACACTGTTCTGTGCCAAAACCCTTTGGTTTGATAACCAAACCGTACATACCCCTGGGGCATTATCAAACTGAAACACCAGAACAAGGATGTCTAAAAGGTGTCAGGGAATCAAAAAGAAAGTGTAGACCAGCACAAGTAAGTTCTTGCATATCCTTTCAACTGAAGGATCTTACCGTAGTTTGTACTTCCAAGCTATCACTTTCTTGAGAAATTAGGCTTGAAAAAACGTAAAAGGTGCTTGTTTTACAAAAGTCACTATGAATGAAATGTTGCTCCATCACAACTGGAGGCATGTAGTGAGAGGTAGGGAGAAGACACTTGGAGAGCACTGTCACTCTGGGATACAACAACCTATTTGTCTCATAAGAATTTCACATTTCATCTACAAGAGTGAAGTGGGCAATATAAAACACTGGTCTCAGATGAACTTAAAATACGCTTTTGGAATCTCAAAATCATCTAAATTAGTATTTTACATTTGAATATAACTTTTATGGTATCAAAGTGTGCTTCAATACCGAGAGTATTTTTCCATACCTAACATCTAACAGTAGGTTCTAACATCTGGGAAATGTGTTCTTATTTCAACCCCATTTGACTGCCAAGTTAAACACAGAGAGAGACGGAGGTTCAACAGCCAGCTAGCTCACACTCTACTACAAAATAGTGGTAGGCATGATTTGATCTTCCAAGAATTTCATTTGAGGCTGGAACATAGTGGATATGTGTGGGCAAACAATCCCAAAAAGATGGTTAAACAGACAGACATCGGTAAAGCACATTTCACATATTCCCTGGAAATATTTTCTTAAATTAGTCTAAAAGTGGTACAGTAACATTAACTGTGCATATAGTAGGGATGCACCCTACATGGACTGAAGCACAATCTTGCCTATGGGAGATCAAAATCAAATACATTTTTATTTTTCACATGCACTGAATATAACAGCTGTAGACTTTACCCTGAAATGCTTACTTATGAGACCTTTCCAAACAATGCAGAGTTAAAAAGTAAGAAAATAAGTATGAGTAAATAAGAGGGAAAAAAAGGAAATAGTAACATAATAAAATAACAATAACGAGGCTATATACAAGGAGTACCAGTACCGAGTCAATGTGCAGGGGTACAAGGTAGCAGTGGTGGAAAAAGTACCCAATTGTCATACTTGAGTAAAAATAAAGATACCTTAATAGAAAATGACTCAAGTACAAGTGATAGTCACCCAGTAAAATCCTACTTGAGTAAAAGTCTAAATGTTTTTGGTTTTAAATATACTTAAGTATCAAAAGTAAATATAATTGCTCAAATATACTTAAGTATCAAAAGTAAGTATAAATCATTTCAAATTCCTTATATTAAGCCAACCAGACGGCACCATTTTCTTGTTTTTTAAATTTACGGATAGCCAGGGGCACGCTCCAACACTCAGACATAATTTACAAACGAAGCATGTGTTTAGTGAGTCTGCCAGATCAGAGGCAGTAGGGATGACCAGGTATGTTCTCTTGAAAAGTGTGTCAATTATAATATTTTCCTGTTCTGCTAAGCATTCAAAATGTAACGAGTACTTTTGGGTGTCAGGGAAAATGTATGGAGTAAAAAGTACATCATTTTCTTTAGGAATGTAGTGAAGTAAAAGTAAAAGTAGTCAAAAATATAAAAAGTAAAGTACAGATACCCCAAAAAACTACTTAAGTAGTACTTTTAAGTATTTTTACTTAAGTACTTTACACCACTGCGTTTTAGTTGAGGTAATATGTAGGTAGAGGTAAAAGTGACTATGCAATCAGGATAGATAATAAACAGAGTAGCAGAAGTGTCTGTGAAAGTGTGTATATTTCAGTGTAGCATCAATATGCGTGTGTGTCAGTGTAGTATGTGTGAGTGTGTGGGTAGAGTCCAGTGAGTGCATAGATCATTTGCATTAATGAAAAGGCCTACTCACAGAGAGGCTCATAGGCACGAGGAGGGTCTCCACAGGGTACACAGTCCATGTCCTGAAACCCACTCAGCTTGGTTTTCCTATAGAACCTGTAATATAACAACAACAGCAAATGTGGTAGAAAATGGATTCACACTATGGAGATAATGGGGAGGATGAGACAGCAGCTGTCCTCACCCGGGCAGACAGTCTCCACACACGGTGTTGCCTGTGGCGGTGCAATTGGCTCTCTGGAGGCGGCTGGTGTGGGCACATGATAGACACGGCTTGCATTTCTGCCCTCCTGCCGCCTCTTTGTAGCAGCCAGGTCTGCAGGGCGCACAGCGGGCACCCGCCCCGTAGCCAAAGCCACATTCCTGAGGGGATTAACACACACACAGGAGACCCAGTTGATGGTGAGGAGGTGTGGTGGGGGTTGGCAGTTTGTGGAGAAACGGCAAGCAGAGGTCCCTGACAGTGGCTGAGAGAGAAAAAGACAACTTGCATAGAGAGGCAAGTTACAAACTTTCCCATATTCTGGGGGTCCTCAGATCATTCAATGGAACTGGATGGCTTGGCAAGTGACTATCAACACTTGAGAAGCTACTTTGTGCTGGTCTGACTGCCAGGAGTTCAAACCACCTGTGTCTGATTGACATTTATATTTCTGGTAGAAAAGTGCATACTGTGAGGCTGTGAGCCAGTAAGATAGTTTGAATACTTGGCACAATTTTACATTTAGGTGTAAAACGTTTCATAAGTCAACAAAGTATGTAATAGGAAATACATTACATTTTAGTCATTTAGCAGACGCTCTTATCCAGAGCGACTTACAGGAGCAATTAGGGTTAAGTGCCTTGCTCAAGGGCAGATCGACAGATGTTTCACCTAGTCGGCTCGGAGTTTCGAACCAGCGACCTTTCGGTTACTTTTAATTATTTTTTATTATTTTTATATTTTAGGGGGACCTTTCGGTTACTGGCCAAACGCTCATAACCGCTAGTCTACCTGCGGCGCGCAATTAATTACAGTGTGGGAAAAAAGTATTTAGTCAGCCACCAATTGTGCAAGTTCTCCCACTTAAAAAGATGAGAGAGGCCTGTAATTTTCATCATAGGTACACATCAACTATGACAGACAAAATGAGGGAAAAAAATCCAGAAAATCACATTGTAGGATTTTTAATGAATTTATTTGCAAATTATGGTGGAAAATAAGTATTTGGTCAATAACAAAAGTTTCTCAATACTTTGTTATATACCCTTTGTTGGCAATGACACAGGTCAAACGTTTTCTGTAAGTCTTCACAAGGTTTTCACACACTGTTGCTGGTATTTTGGCCCATTCCTCCATGCAGATCTCCTCTAGAGCAGTGATGTTTTGGGGCTGTCGCTGGGCAACACAGACTTTCAACTCCCTCCAAAGATTTTCTCTGGGGTTGAGATCTGGATACTGGCTAGGCCACTCCAGGACCTTGAAATGCTTCTTACGAAGCCACTCCTTCGTTGCCCGGGCGGTGTGTTTGGGATCATTGTCATGCTGAAAGACCCAGCCACGTTTCATCTTCAATGCCCTTGCTGATGGAAGGAGGTTTTCACTCAAAATCTCACGATACATGGCCCCATTCATTCTTTCCTTTACACGGATCAGTCGTCCTGGTCCCTTTGCAGAAAAACAGCCCCAAAGCATGATGTTTCCACCCCCATGCTTCACAGTAGGTATGGTGTTCTTTGGATGCAACTCAGCATTCTTTGTCCTCCAAACACAACGAGTTGAGTTTTTACCAAAAAGTTATATTTTGGTTTCATCTGACCATATGACATTCTCCCAATCCTCTTCTGGATCATCCAAATGCACTCTAGCAAACTTCAGACGGGCCTGGACATGTACTGGCTTAAGTAGGGGGACACGTCTGGCACTGCAGGATTTGAGTCCCTGGCGGCGTAGTGTGTTACTGATGGTAGGCTTTGTTACTTTGGTCCCAGCTCTCTGCAGGTCATTCACTAGGTCCCCCCGTGTGGTTCTGGGATTTTTGCTCACCGTTCTTGTGATCATTTTGACCCCACGGGGTGAGATCTTGGGATCGAGGGAGATTATCAGTGGTCTTGTATGTCTTCCATTTCCTAATAATTGCTCCCACAGTTGATTTCTTCAAACCAAGCTGCTTACCTATTGCAGATTCAGTCTTCCCAGCCTGGTGCAGGTCTACAATTTTGTTTCTGGTGTCCTTTGACAGCTCTTTGGTCTTGGCCATAGTGGAGTTTGAAGTGTGACTGTTTGAGGTTGTGGACAGGTGTCTTTTATACTGGTAACAAGTGTCTTTTATACAGGTAACGAGTGGAGGACAGGTCTGTGAGAGCCAGAAATCTTGCTTGTTTGTAGGTGACCAAATACTTATTTTCCACCATAATTTGCAAATAAATTCATTAAAAATCCTACAATGTGATTTCCTGGAATTTTTTTCCTCAATTTGTCTGTCATAGTTGACGTGTACCTATGATGAAAATTACAGGCCTCTCTCATCTTTTTAAGTGGGAGAACTTGCACAATTGGTGGCTGACTAAATACTTTTTTTCCCCACTGTATATGCTTACAATGGCATGACTGGTTGTATCAATAATTTTGACAGGATGGAACAAGTTTGATAGACTACTCACCATGGATAGCTCCTGTCCAGATCCACACTGTCTGCAGGCGACACAGTCCCCTGCTTCATCCCTGTACTCCTGCACCCTGCATTCTCTATTCTCCACTGCAGTTCCATGAACCTGACCAAGAGCAAGAGCATCACTCACAAACTTCAGATACACTACAACAAATGAAAAATTCCATGCGTAAATGAAAAACGTTATGCCTTACCATATAGCACCAAATAATCAGCTCCAGTAAAAGCGACAGCATCTTCTTTAGCTTCCACTCCATGTTAACTATTTTGTCTTAGTGTTAAAATGTCTGCCAATACCTGGATGGGAATCAATGAGCTAATACTTTAATACCACCCACGCTCATAATAATTCGATTAAATGGTCCATCTTCTGATACAGTACGTCCAATGTTAATTGACATAAGAAGTAATTAATTACAGTAACAGAAGTAGATATCTGGCGGACCTGACAAGATCAGGCAACAGCGTTTATTCCATAACAGGTTCCTAGAGAATACCGCGTCCCACTCCTAAATACCCAGAGTCAGACATGGGTATTGGGTAGGCAACTTTTTCAACAAATAATATTGCCGCATGCCAGATACCAGATACTAGCGCATCAAGCTCCCCCTGAACATTGTGAACAATCTTCAATTATATCTGTACACTGCATGTTCAAAATATCAACCTGCCGGAACAGGATCCGGCACCTCTCCGTTTTGGACTGTTTTGCTCCGGAACCTATTTGTCCGGATCTGGTAACTCTCATGGTGTGAACTATTATTTTCCATTTTTGCAATGTAAAAATTATAATAAAAGCGATAAAAGTTCATTCGAGTTGCTTTTTCGTTAATTCTCCTGCCCCCACAAAAAAACGTAATGTGAAAAAGTTGATTTTCAGGCCGGGACTAATATTTTAATAGTTGATTCGGGTTGGGCCAGCCCGGGTTTGTGGTTTGCGCAACATTGTAACCTACTGTATGTGTGAGACCAACGGGTGGCTGTGGCTGTGTGAGAAGCGCGCCTGTATCGCTCACATAACTAGAATGAGATTACTTTTCGATGATCTCTCTCCATCTCTGCTCTGCTCTGATAGACATGAGCCTGCAACTCTCATCTCTCCAGCGTTGCACTTCATCATTTATTTCCTTATAGAATCATTACCGCGCGAAGGGTTCTGAAGGAACTGCAGCACCCCTGATTAATTGAAATACATTTACCAAAGTTATAGAATTACTGCTGTCTGTTCAGAAAGAAATGAAATAATTCAGAATAGCCTACTACACCATGAGAAGGCCTATAATTTAGTCACAGAGGATCAATAGCGTCTGGTGGATTTTAGCCCAACAACAAGAAATTGCCTACAGTCGGGAACGCGCCGCTAATCTGTCAGTGAACCAACAGAATGCAGACAAAACAGGCCTTTCGCAATATTTCAAATACAATCGAGGGAAAACACAGGTTGGAAAGCAAATGGCTCCTGCTGAAAAGATAAGACTATGTTGTAGTCTACCAACATATTTGATCAACTTCCAAATATATATATATAAAAAAAAAGTTAAACAAGAGAGCGATAGGCTTTTGGAACGAGCGCATCGGCCATCGCCAGCGAGTGAGCTGCGCGTCATTGGGTGAGTCAGTGAAGCTGGAAAGCAATTTTAGGACTATAATTTCCTTCTCATATTGTAGCCTACAGTATGTCTCCACACACTTAGGCCTAGGCTATTGATGGATTCAAGACGAGGTCGTTTTTATTGATCTCAGATTCTCAGTTTGTCAGTGTCAAAGTAGCCTTCCATTTCTATCATTTGTGCTGTATTAAAAAATATTCTGTCAACGTCTCCGGTCATGTAAAATGACGTAGAATTGCATGAAATGCGTTTATAAAAGGCCACATTTTTCCCGGTCCCTAGGCTACTAAAAGGTTTCCCAATGTGTGCAACTTCTGTAAGTGCCTTTACTCTACTGCTCTATGTCACTACGCAAATGCAATGATATGCATGCAATGCATTATGATAAAGGTGAGTTTTCTTTTAACATGCGTTCGGGTACCTCAGAACTCCCCACCCCCCTCTCGCGCTCCCTTTTTGTTCCGGCACCTCCCGAGTTACAAATTAAGCACTGGGTAGGATTTGGTAAATACATTTGTTTCCCTCCATTTAGTATCATATATTACCCTACAATAGGTTACGTTATTAATGGAATAGCGGTCGTACAATATCATATAGGATGTATAGTATCATACATGTTATCCGGTCGTACAATATCATAGCCAACATCTGTTTACTGTGAAAGGGATGAAAATATGCACAAATATAATTCATGAAACTATTCCCAGACAACGGGTAACACAGTTATGACGCTGGGAAAAAACGATTGAAATATACAAATGTTTATTTATTAAAACGTTTTCTGAACTTTCTAATTTTTCTAAAATGCACTTAGAATAACTTTCAGGCAAGACAAGACTGATTGTATATCTATGATGATGTCCTGTATGTATAAAGACGATCCCAGGGAAATATTAATCTCAAGATAATGGAGTGTGGTCTTTTAACAATTGTGACTGTTGTCATGGCAGGTGGAGGTGTGACCAGCTTTGGACAGGTACAGTCTTCCATCAGGACACACACACACTTCATACAGCTGCTCCCCAGGACTTCCTCTCTCTCCCTCTCCACTCAGAGGTAACCTGGGCAGCTGCACCCTCTCAGCATCCAGAATCAACTGCAGAAAGAGGGGAAAATAATATGATGCTCTACTCATTATTTGTTTGAGCATATGAAATAAAAGAAGACAGTTGTTTAGTTTTAGTTAACAATAAGAAATATATTTGGAAACACTTTGCATTACAGTGTCCTTATTCCAATGCAAATTCATTCGTAAACAGTGTATTAAGTATTGTAATCAAGATACTGAAGTAAAAAGTGTTGCCATGTGTGCTATCCTAGATTTAGTCGTGCTACCCCCAGCCTCTTCTTACCACTCCGTCCATAGAGAGTAGAGAGATGTCCATGCTGGACACGGCCTGGCCGCTTCCGGACACTGCCTTGATGTGGACTCCCTTTGGAGCATCCAGGTGGAGGGAACGGGTGGGGGCTTCTAGCCTGACCCCACAGAAAGACAGAGTATACAGTAAAGAATATTGGATAATAAGAGAATGGACACAAGTGGTACATATACTTTACACTTAGAAGGTTGAATCGGACATTAATTATTTGCATTTACAACGATAAGCCTATAGGTAGCAGCAAATCCATACATTACCAGTTAAGCACTTTTATTTATTTATTACTTTTTAGCACTTTTTCTCCTGAATTTCGTGAAATCCAATTGGTAGTTACAGTCTTGTCCCATCGCTGCAACTCCCGTACGGACTCCGGAGAGGCGAAGGTCGAGAGCCATACGTCCTCCGAAACACGATCTCGCTAAGACGCACTGCTTCTTGACACACTGCTCCGGACGACGCTGGGTCAATTGTGCGTCGCCTCATCGGTCTCCCGGTCGCGGCCGGCTGCGACACTGCCCGGAATCGAACCCGGGTCTGTAGTGACGCCTCAAGCACTGCATGATAACATGACTAAATTAATTTAGTCATGTTATCAATTCGAATTCAGAACATATTTGAGTTTCATTTGTTGGAAATCGGCAGAGGCTGAAAGAACTGTGGACAAATCCACTGTGGGTTTTCACCAAGCAATATGAGCCAATGATGGATATTTATGCACATCATCTCCAAGCTGTTGCTATGAGACCCCTGGATCCATCCAAATCAGAAATTAGCATACTACCTATTTGATACCGCTTATCTTAATTAAATATGTAAATTAGATTAGCTTATTTCCACAAAAGCATCTCTTTACATTGACAGTAAAGCCCCTGAATACATAAGTCCCCACTTATAGGTCTGCCCACTCATGTACACAAGAGAAGAGGAGGTCTCTACTCTCACCCACTGGCAGTACATGTAGTGTGTGGCATTAGGATTAGGATTCATTAAGGTAGGACACTTTGTATGCTGAGGGAGAGAGAGTGAGCAGAGCGCTGTGCATTCTGAGGGCCACACACTGGGGGAACCAAGCTGGAGGGAGAGATAACAATGGCACAGGAAACACACTGCTCAGAACCCCAGAGCATGGGACTGTTGTGCCTGTTTCATCTGTGCTGCAGCTTTCACTCCACCAATGCGGACGCTGCTGTTGATGGGACATTTATATTGAGGCGAGAAGATGTCTGGGAAATGTTGCCCTGTTGTGTGATACATACGGTAACTGTAAAACGACTAATTCTGTTTAATCATTGTGTTGTTTACCCAAGGTGGGATTATATCTGTCACAAAAAATGGAGACAAAATGATCAAAAATCTATTTTAACAATACAAGAAAAGCAAAGGCCTCTCTCCCCTATGATCAGATAAAAACTGCCATTAGGTGTCAAAGTTACCTCAAGTCCTTGGAAGGCTCTGCCCTGACCAGGGATGTCTCTATGGAATGTTCACACTGTGCACCATCAGACCCTGTAGAATGTAGGAGCACTGCCCAGTTTAGATTCTGTTCTTATAGTGACATCATGTGAATCAGTATGCAGATACTGTATGTATTACCATATCCCTGACAGTTACATCAGACAAAACTAGCATAGGATGTTTCATGATTCAACAAAGTTGGACTGTCTCTCTGAATAGTGTGAAATGTCCACATACCTGTAATGGTTAGCTTTTCCGCTCCAACAACTACCTGTTCTGTACCAGCAGAAAATAGCAATTTCCCAGTGCTCGTCATTACCTCAAAATGTTGTCCTACACTTTCCATGGACTGTGGACCTAAATAAAAAATTATATTACCAAAGCGATTAAAACACAGTAGACATTTACACTTAAGTGATTGGATGCACACAGTGGGTTGAGTTCAAATGTTACCTACACATCTACCCACACAGCAATAACTGTGTGGAGAGTGTTTTGATGCAGCAGAACAGCTATTTTCTATTTCCCACATACACATACAGTAGGTAGTGGGAGATGTGAGTTAACCCCAATATTTAAAAACACTTAATGATTCTGAAATGAAAGGTGCTTCATAAATGGAAATCTATTGAGTTGCCTAATGAGGGTCATTACCGAAAAACGTATTTCACTCATACAAGTGAGGCATATAGTACATGGAGAGGACACAGCCATTTTAAAGAGCATTGAGCATGAATACATTAAGTTGGGAGATAATGAATATTGACATCTGCTCTCACCCTCATTATATTATAACCCATAACAGTCTAAGCCCTGTCTAAGCTGGGGGAGGAGGGTTCTTCTAAGCTATATGGAATTGTTTTAAGAAGGTCATACCAAGGATAATTTTTCTATTTCATTTAGAATTAAGACCCCTTGAAGTATCTCCAAAATATATTTAAAATAATATTTTATGAAAAATCACTGCTATTAGCCTATAAAAAACATATTAAATAAAATATCCACTACATGGACCAACAGATAGTACCCCCCAAAAAATGTAAAGGAAGTTTGTTCTGAAGTGTCTGTCCTATAACTGAGAGATACACTATATATACAAAAGTATGTGGACATCCCTTCAAATGAGTGGATTCAGGAATGTCAGCCACACCCGTTGCTGACAGGTGTATAAAATTGAGCACACAGCCATGCAATCTCCATAGAGAAACATTGGCAGTAGAATGGCCTTACTGAAGAGCTTAGAGTCACTGAGCTCTTCAGTAAGGCCATTCTACTGCCATTGTTTCAACGTGGCACCGTCATAGGATGCCACCTTTCCAACAAGTCAGTTAGTCAAATTTCTGCCCTGCTAGAGCTGCCCCGGTCAACTGTAAGTGCTGTTATTGTGAAGTGGAACGGTCTAGGAGCAACAACAGCTCAACCGCGAAGTGGTAGGCCACACAAGCTCACAGAACGGGACCGCTGAGTGCTGAAGCACGTAGCACGTAAAAATCGTCTGTCCTCGGTTGCAACACTCACTACCAAGTTCCAAACTGCCTCTGGAAGCAACGTCAGCACAAGAACTGTTCGTCGGGAGCTTCATGAAATAGGTTTCCATGGCCGAGCAGCCGCACACAAGCCTAAGATAACCATACGCAATGCCAAGCGTTGCCTGGAGTGGTATAAAGCGTGCCACCATTGGACTCTGGAGCAGTGGAAATGCGTTCTCTGGAGTGATTAATCACGCTTCACTATCTGGCAGTCCGACAGACGAATCTGGGTTTGGCGGATGCCTGCCCGAATGCATAGTGCCAACTGTAAAGTTTGGTGGATGAAGAATAATGGTCTGGGGCTGTTTTTCATGGTTCGGGCAAGGCCCCTTAGTTCCAGTGAAGGGAAATCTTAACGCTACAGCATAAAATTACAGTCTAGACGATTCTGTGCTTCCATCTTTGTGGCAACAGTTTGCAGAAGGCCCTTTCTTGTTTCAGCATGACAATGCCCCCGTAAACAAAGCGATACAGAAAGGTTTGTCGAGCTCGGTGTGGTAGAACTTGACTGGCCTGCACAGAGCCCTGACCTCAACCCCATCAAACACCTTTGGTATGAATTGGAACGCTGACTGCGAGCCTTTACTTTTTTCCAATCTTCCTCTGTCCAGTATCTGTGTTCTTTTGCCCATCTTAATCTTTTATTTTGATTGGCCAGTCTGAGATATGGCTTTTTCTTTGCAACTCTGCCTAGAAGGTCAGCATCCCGGAGTCGCCTCTTCACTATTGACGTTGAGACTGATGTTTTGCGGGTACTATTTAATGAAGCTGCCAGTTGAGGACCTGTGAGGCGTATGTTTCTCAAACTAGACACTCTAATGTATTTGTCCTCTTGCTCAGTTGTGCACTGGGGCCTCCCACTCCTCTTTCTATTCTGGTTAGAGCCAGTTTGTGCTGTTCTGTGAAGGGAGTAGTACACAGCGTTGTACGAGATCTTCAGTTTCTTGGTAATTTCTCGCATGGAATAGCCTTCATTTCTCAGAACAAGAATAGACTGACGAGTTTCAGAAGAAAGTTATTTGTTTCTGGCCATTTTGATTCTGTAATCGAACCCACAATTGCTGATGCTCCAGATACTCAACTAGTCTAAAGAACTGCTTCTTTAATCAGCACAACAGTTTTCAGCTGTGCTAACATAATTGCAAAAGGGTTTTCTAATGATCAATTAGCCTTTTTAAATGATAAACTTGGATTAGCAAACACAACGTGCCAGTGAAACACAGGACTGATGGTTGCTGATCATGGGCCTCTGTACGCCTATGTAGATATTCCATAAAAAATCAGCCGTTTCCAGCTACAATAGCCATTGACAATGTCTACACTGTATTTCTGATCAATTTGATGTTATTTTAATGGACAAAAAAATTGCTTTTCTTTCAAAAACAAGGACATTTCTAAGTGACCCCAAACTTTTGAACGGTAGTGTATATATATATTTATATTCTTTTTTTTTTTACATGTACAGTACCAGTCAAAAGTTTGGACACACCTACTGATTCAAGTATTTTTCTTTATTTTTACTATATTCTACATTGTAGGATAATAGTGAAGACATCAAAACTATGAAATAACACATATGGAATCATGTAGTAACCAAAAAAGTGTTAAACAAATCAAAATATATTTTATATTTGATTTTCTTCAAAGTAGCCACCCTTTGCCTTGATGACAGCTTTGCACACGTTTGGCATTCTCTCAACCAGCTTCACCTGGAATGCTTTTCCAACAGTCTTGAAGGAGTTCCCACATATGCTGAGTACTTGTTGGCTGCTTTTCCTTCACTCTGCGGTCCAACTCATCCCAAACCATGTCCATTGGGTTGAGGTAGGGTGACTGTGGAGGCCAAGTCATCTGATGCAGCACTCCATCACTCTCCTTCTTGGTCAAATAGCCCTTACACAGCCTGGAGGTGTGTTGGGTCATTGTCCTGTTGAAAAACAAATGATTGTCCCACTAAGCGCAAACCAGATGGGATGGCATATCGCTGCAGAATACTGTGGTAGCCATGCTGGTTAAGTGTGCCTTGAATTCTAAATAAATCACAGCAGTATCACCAGCAAAACACCCCCAAACCATCACAACTCTTCCTCCATGCATCCCGGTGGGAACCACACATGCGGAGATCATCCATTCACCTACTCTGCGTCTCACAAAGACACGGCAGTTGGAACCAAAAATCTCAAATTTGGACTCATCAGACCAAAGGACAGATTTCCACCGGTCTAATGTCCATTGCTCGTGTTTCTTGGCCCAAGCAAGTCTCTTCTTCTTATTGGTGTCCTTTAGCAGTGGTTTCTTTGCAGCAATTCAACCATGAAGGCCTGATTCACGCAGTCTCCTCTGAACAGTTGATGTTGAGATGTGTCTGTTACTTGAACTCTGTGAAGCATTTATTTGGGCTGCAATTTCTGAGGCTGGTAACTCTAATGAACTTATCCTCTGCAGCAGAGGTAACTCTGGGTCTTCCTTTCCTGTGGCGGACCTCATGAGAGCCAGTTTCATCATAGCGCTTGATGGTTTTTGCGTCTGCACTTGAAGAAACTTTCAAAGTTCTTGAAATTGTCCGTATTGACTGACCTTCATGTCTTAAAGTAATGATGGACTGTCGTTTCTCTTTGCTTATTTGAGCTGTTCTTGCCATAATATGGACTTGGTCTTTTACCAAATAGGGCTATCTTCTGTATACCTTGTCACAACACAACTGATTGGCTCAAACGCATTAAGAAGGAAAGAAATTACACAAATTAACTTTTAAGAAGGCACACCTGTTAATTGAAATGCATTCCAGGTGACTACCTCATGAAGCTGGTTGAGAGAATGCCAAGAGTGTGTAAAGCTGTCATCAAGGCAAAGGGTGGCTATTTGAAGAAAATCAAATATAAAATATATTTTGATTTTTTAGCACTTTTTTGGTTACTACATGATTCCATATGTGTTATTTAATATTTTTTATTTCATTGATGTCTTCACTATTATTCTACAATGTAGAAAATAGTAAAATTAAAGAAAAACCCTGGAATGAGTAGGTGTGTCCAAACTTTTGACTGGTACTGTATATAAAAATGTGAGCCCATAAACTGAGAATAATATATTTCAGGGCTCATGTGGAGGCATCCCATCCATGGCATTTTGATTACATTAAAGCCATCCTTTCTGATTATTCAGAGTTGCCTCTAGCTTTTGTTGATATCGCCATTTCTTATAAATCCATTTAGAAGTCCAGTAGGTCTGCATCTTATCAGTGCCACAGAGAAGCTAATAGATACATCAGCATGAGTTCAGTACACAGTCATTTATTAAACATCAAAAGTGTAATTTAAAAATACTTGTTCTGGATTTGATTCCTTGGAAGCACCTTTTGAGTCATAATAGCCCTATATAATTTACATCAAATTCTTAATAAAGATGTAGCTAACAAAGATGGACTCTTACCCAGGGTAAGGCTACCTAACACAACTCCTTTCCCATTGCAGGCTTGGAGCGTGACATTCTGGGACTCAGAGTGGATAAGAAGGGAGGTGTCCTGTGAAGCAAGAGAACAGTGTTTGAGTGTAGTGTCACTCTGATGAGAGGGGTATACTACAATGAAAACTAAATCTACTCAGGGTTTTCTAAAGCTAGCCAGCTTCAGTTAGCTTCACATTCCAGCTCAGGCTTCATTCATTTAAGGTGATACGGCCTCAGCAGAAGGCTGGGCATTCATACTTCTTAATCTTTGCGGAGCAGCGCAGAGCTGTTGTGAAGGAAGTTGTCAAGGAAGTGAGTTTGTGTTTATACATGACCTCCAGTCCCACCTACTGTCAACCAATCATGTCAATGCGGAGCTATACGGAGCCCTCCGCATTGTTACAAAATTTGGCCGGCGCATGGCGATGCAGTACGGAGCTCAATTTGGCCTCTGCATGCTTCTGAAGGCTCCAAAATTGCATCACACCGTCCATACGGCGCCTCCGACCATATTTTCGGATCAAGCAAAAATTGGCTTTTACTAGCTAGTCGAATGCCAAATTCTTAATTGAGACAATGCTGAAACATCTATCCATGCACGAGTCAGCGCCACATTTTTATTTGTGGCGAAATCAAAAATGAAATAAAGGTTATCTTGCCAATCCGACTCCTTTCAATAAAATAATTTAATAAAAAGTCGTACAAAAGTTTTACTGTGGATGAAGTTTCAATGTGATAAGTATTTTAATGTTACTATCTTTTTTACACCAAAAACATTTGATTAATAAAATATTTAATCCATGGTGAAAGGGATGATGATGCAATCTTTGCAAGAGGTAGGGAATATGATTTAATTGGTCCTCAACTCAAGGCTCAGACACTTAATTCAGGATAAGTGGAGTTAGCCTGTCCAGGAGAAGGTTAGTTCTGAAAGATTTGTTTGCCACAGAAATGTACCTGGCTAAAAAGTAAGCCACTTTCATGGTACCGGTAATCCCGAGTTGAACTCAGAGTTGACTAAATGTACCTTGCTAACTCCTCAAACCACATAAGTAGTATAGGGCTCTGATCAGAACATTGAGGGAAACAGGAGGACATGTACATGTTCGATGTAAACAACTTGAATTAGTTTACCTGTTTGGAGTGTATTTCTTGGGCGTAGAGAGAGAAGAGGAACTCGGACACTCCATCAAGCCTCACCCGATCTGATGTTATTCTCAGCTGCCCCATTCCTTCCTGAAACAGTCAGGAGGAAATCAACTTTTAATACAAACTTTTATACAAACTCTGTTTGCTCATTCTTTCTCTTGTACTATGCTGATATTCTCCTCCAGAAGAGTTAAAGTTATGTTATCGTACCTCTGAAGTGTTTTGTGAGACTGCCGACATGCCTCAATGGTCTTTAATTAGACAAAGGTGTACAAATTAGGTCCCTGTTTCATTATAGATAAAACCTATTTCAAGATAGGCTATATCATCCAGGATGTCCAGTAATAAGCAACTGTCACTGATAAATACTGAACTGTGCAAACTATACAGAGCATGTACTCTGTGTGAATCTCAAAAGTATTTAACTTCCATTCCATGCATCCTCTTTCCTGGCCACCTCCTCAAAATGTCAGAGGGAACCTCATAGGAGGTGAGAAGAGAGGAATCAAGAAAATACTACTGAGATGCACTCACTGTGTTGAGACAGGTGACCCTGAGGATCCAGATGGTCAGGGCAATGTTGACCAGCAGGGTGGAGAGCAGGAGAAGCACCAGCAGGTAGAGGCAGCACTTCCTCCAGCCATAGATTCCCTGCCTGTGGTCATCATACTGCTCCTCTGTGTCCGGGCCTTCAGCACCCTCTGCTGGTGGGGGGTATTGCTGCAAAACCATCAGCTGAGGAGGACAGTTATAGCACGGATGCAGAATAGGCTACCTACAACCTTGGGGAACATAGCAGAAATATAGAGCATCACAATGAAAAAGGTTCATACAACATGTTATGTGTACAAGTCATACAAGTTTGAAGTAAAGATGCAATAATGTGCTGCTATATGTGTGACCACATTGCATTGAAGTCATGTAATCTGCTGTTGCATTACTTTATTTAGATTAAAAAATGATTATACAGTACCTTGTTTAGAAACTTGTCAGAAAGCTGAATGCTTCAAAAGTGGTGAGAGTGAAATTATCCTTTTGAGCAGAAGTCCAGTCAATTTGAATCTTGGATGTTTAGAAGCCTTTAATTTATGGCATTTCTTCAGTATGATGAAATTATTTATTATTTATTATTTTTAGAGTGGATATGAGACCCAAAAGCCTAAATGTATTTGTGAACTGTGCATTTCTCAATCTATACATAACATGCTTTAAATGAGGGATGGGATCAAGATGAGATGAAAATTATAAATTTGCCTCCAAAAGGGTGAACAGCACTGAACACTAATGAGATCTTTTTGTGAAGAACCCCTTAAAAAGAAAAAAAAGGAGCTCCTCTGCTAAATCTCCCCAGTAATTACATGTCAGTTCAGTTCCTGTTCAAAGCATCCTAATGAGCTGTTCAGTATTCCCCCACTGACACAGGGGAACAATATATGGGAATAAGTGGTGTTATGGTTAAAAATAAATATTCCGTAACATAACTTTAAACGATTGCTGGTTTTTACATCATCTGACTCATGTTCAGGGGATGTATTGCACATTTGTATACCATAGCAAAAAAAATTGTTCTGATCTTGAAATAACATATGCTACTTAAAAATAAATTTCATTTATAGGACATGCAAGATGCAACATGATAAATAATAGGGCAGAATCTTCAGACTACTAGCTTGTTCATAAACCAATGACAGACAAATCAATGACAATAAGCATCTCTTACCCAAGTCCTTTGCAGAGGCAATGGGGATTTTGTGTGGAGCTCAGACCGTCCATGGACCTGGCATTTACCAGCAAGATGCCATGAATCACGCTTCGAATCGGCACTTACTGAGTGATGCTTGGCATCCTCCTCATGAGGATTTTAGCTCGCTCTCCTGCATCATATGGTCTACATTAGGAACCCACATTTCTCTGCCAGCCTCACTTCTCTATTCTCTTTGTTCAGCCTGAATTATGGGCTACCTATGGGTATCCATTGGAGGTGAAAAACCATGTCATTATTCTCTGTCCCAAACCTTTTTGCAGAGTACTAGAAAAAAAGGCCCAGTCAGGTATATGAGGTAAACGAGCTTCAACGCCATACAACACTCCTTCCGTAGCCTTCAACTGCTCTTAAACACTAGTAAAACTAAATGCATGCTCTTCAACCGAACGCTGCTTGCACCCGCCCACCCGACTAGAATCACTACTCTCGGCGGGTCTGACCTAGAGTATGTGGACAACTACAAATACCTTCGTGTCTGGTTAGACTGTAAACTCTCCTTCCAGACTCACATTAAGCATCTCCAATCAAAAGTTAGATCTAGAATCGGCTTCCTATTTCGCAACAAAGCCTCCTTCACTCATGCTGCCAAACATGCCCTCGTAAAACTGACTATCCTACCGATCCTCGACTTCGGCGATGTCATTTACAAAATAGCCTCCAACACTCTACTCAGCAAATTGGATGTAGTCTATCACAGTGCCATCCGTTTTGACACCAAAGCCCCATATACTACCCACCATTGTGACCTGTACGCTCGTGTTGGCTGGCCTTCACTACATATTCGTCGCCAAACCCACTGACTCCAGGTAATCTATAAATCACTGCTAGGCAAATCCCTGTATTACCTTAGCTCACTGGTCACCATAGCAACACCCACCCGTAGTCTACGCTCCAGCAGGTATATCTCACTGGTCATCCCCAAAACCAACACCTCCTTTGGCCGCCATTCCTTCCAGTTCTCTGCTGCCAATGACTGGAACGAACTGCAAAAATCTCTGAAGCTGGAGACTCTTATCTCCCTCACTAACTTTAAGCGTCAGTTGTCAGAGCAGCTTACCGATCACTGCACCTGTACACAGCCATTCTGAAATTAGCCCACCCAACTACCTCATCCCCATATTGTTATTTATTTTGCTAATTTGCACCCTGGTATCTCTATTTGCACATAATCTTTTTCACATCTATCATTCCAGTGTTAATACAACATTTTAACTATTTTGCACTATGGCCTATTTATTGCCTTACCTCCATAACTTACTACATTCGCACACACTGTATATATATTTTCTGTTTGTATTTTTGACTTTATGTTTTGTTTACCCCATATGTAACTCTGTGTTGTTGTTTTTATCGCACTGCTTTGCTTTATCTTGGCCAGGTCGCAGTTGTAAATGAGAACTTGTTCTCAACTGGCTTACCTGGTTAAATTAAGGTGAAATAAAAAAATAAAAAAAATAAAAAAGAGACATAAGAGATACAGTATTTCAAATTATTCTCAGTCTCATTAGAAAATGAAGGTGTTTTCAGTACAGAATTCAGCTGAAGGGTATTATTACCTATAGATATACCTATAGATTTCTGTAATAATATTAATAATCATTGCATATGATTCATTATGCATATTGAATGTTGATATTGTTAATTAAAACGTGCTGTTGACAAACAATCAGCACCAAGGACCGTTTAAATAATATCATCCTTTTGAATAATTCAGTAATTCATAATTTCACACTAGAGAAAGATTATACCCAAATCTTCACTCAAAGTGGAGATGCTGTGAACGAACATATCCTAAACTGTACGAATGAAAAAGGGTCATCACGTTTCCTTTCAGCATGCGATGCCATCTTTCGGTCAGTGCATCGCTCCATTCAAATCCTCCACATTGTAAACAAAAACACCTCAATCTCTTACTGACTTGACAGACTGCATGACTAGAAACCTCGTCTCCGGCATGTTGGTGTTGGGTTTACAGGCGTAAAAACAGATATTCATGGGGAGTAATTTTCGTAAAGTCATTTAAAAGGAGTGATTGTCTGATGCCTAGACCACTATTACCTTGTTTTGATAGCTCCAAACCTGAAGCTCAGATTGTCGCAAGTTCTTAAAGGTGTTACGGTGCCACAACTTGAGATATTTGGATAGGGGAAAAAAGAACCCCAGTCCCTGTGAACTCAACACCTCTGGACTGGAACTCCACTCCAGAATGAGTGACATGATGCCTTTATGCAATATTGTGTTAATAATGGGCTGCTTATTCTTATTCCCTGTTGGGGCGTTCTCACTACAAACATGCCACTCCAGTGCGCCTGGGCGCCATCATGGAAGGACAGGTTTGTTGATTTGGAGTTTACATTACACATCCCATTGCGCAAACCTAATTAATTCAGAACTTTAAATTACATTTTGGAAAGTAGTTTGCACAGCTGTTTGCTAAGTATACACACATTTTAATGAGCCACTTGAAGACCAATACATGCATTACCATTGTTTTGATTTAGCCCTAAGCCTACACAGACGAATTTCCCTATAGGTAAAGTTATGTTTCACCATTAAAATCACCATGGTACCATGGTGGTGTTGGTACAAGGATTAACAACTTTCATCCCAGGCCAGGAAACCCAATTGATATTAAGCAACAAGTGCTCTTTTTCAAATGGTAATATATTTTTATTGACAATTGCTGAACCCCAATTTGGCAGCCAAATCTGTTCTGCTTCAGGATGTTTAAAAATCTAATCAGCCTCATATGTTACATATTTTTTTATTTTAGCAGACGCTCTTATCCAGAGCGACTTACAGTTATTGAGTGCATACATTTTCATACTGGCCCCCGTGGGAATCGAACCCACAACCAATTACGTTTATGACAACTAATACAGTAAATTGACCCACAGCCTCACACATTCATTTTTGTCAAATTATAGCTTTTCTCTGAATGGGAAGCACTGATAGCTCAGTTTAAAGACCAGTAATGAACACACTGCACATTACTTGTTTTTGTTGGTTTTATTTTACTACACAAACAGATCTTGATTCCAATGACAAGAGGTGTCTAATCTGCTAAATGACTAAAATGTAAATGTGCCTGAAAGACAAACAGAAAAACTCAATCAGGTTTAAAAGAAAATACCACTGAAAAACGATATTTTGGTATTTGCTTCATTAGTCCACTGTTGATACAGTCCCACGGATGTTTTGCATGTAGCAATTACGTTTTCAAGATATAGAACTTACAGTATAATGCATTTTGTTACTCTTCCTGTATTTTGAAAGTTCTATATCTTGAAAACTTGATTGATGACATGCAAAACATTTTGGGACTATCAACAGTGGACTAATGAAACAAATACCCCAAAATGTCTATACTTTTACAATAAGTAATGTGAATGGAGGAATTGCATTGCTATGTGGCCTAAACACTAACGGTCTATTGTAATATATATATGTACACAGTGGTCTGCAAAATTATTGACACTCTTGATAAAGATAGAGATTTTGTTTAACAATATACACTACCGTTAGGGGTCACTTAGAAATGTCCCTGTTTTCGAAAAAAAATATTTTATTTTTATTTTTAGGCCCATTACCAGCAACCATCAGTCCTGTGTTCCAATGGCACATTGTGTTTGCTAATCCAAGTTTATCATTTTAAAAGGCTAATTGATCATTAGAAAACCCTTTTGCAATTATGTTAGCACAGCTGAAAACTGTTGTGCTGATTAAAGAAGCAATAAAACTGGCCTTCTTGAGACTAGTTGAGTATCTGGAGCATCAGCAATTGTGGGTTTGATTACAGGATCAAAATGGCCAGAAACAAATAACTTTCTTCTTAAACTTGTCAGTCTATTCTTGTTCTGAGAAATGAAGGCTATTCAATGCGAGAAATTGCCAAGAAACTGAAGATCTCGTACAACGCTGTGTACTACTCCCTGCACAGTACATCGCAAACTGTCTCTAACCAGAATAG